AATTGTTAATTATTTGTATAAGTGTAAACATTGAAAAAACGATATCTTCCGAAAAATTTACTGGGGCCAAAAACGTGTAAATTACATAAACATGTTGGTCACTAACCTAATTATTTTGCATTATCCATAATATACTTAGAATGTGTAATAGGTAATCTTTTAAAATACGTTGGTTTAATTTTTGTCATTTGAGTAGAATCATTCCTATGTTTAAATAATTGTCAATAAGTTACTAGGATTTAGTTTTAATTAACTCTATAATCAACAACAGCATATAAAAGTTTTAGCCTCCTGTTTTCTATTCCATTAACCGATGACCTTGACATTGCAGACATAATTTTGAGTCAATATCACATGCGTGTAGAACGTTGATGAAGTAAGAATTGTTATGCCCCGTATTAGAAGTTTTGGGATTATGTAGTTCTTGATCTGTATGTATGTCTGTCAATTTTTTTGTTTATATACAATAAACCTTAACAATGCCTATAGATTTTGAGGGGTTTGAGCTATGGTTATCGTATTCCACAATGAATTCCTTGTTAGAAGTCCTCTTTTTTGGCTTTCAGCATATTTGACCTCTTGATCTTGACTTTGGATTTTGCGAAAATTTATTCAACCTTAATTGTGATAAAAAAAATCTCCCCAGGGATATAAATATTTTAACTTAACCTTTGAGTTTGACCAACTTTAAAAAAAAATGGACTTAACTTTTGAACAGTTAATTCTAGTACCTCATATATTACTGGTGTATTCCAATGACAATGCATTCATTTTGATACCTTTATATTTCACATACATGTGCCTTTAAAAAACTTAATGTTTGCTAAAGTGTATTTACAGATGGTGCTAAGGTTTCACTATTTCACTTCTCTATTTCTTTTGACAAGGCCTTTCACTAAGTACCTTTAAATTAATCCTTTAACATCGAACTTGACAAATTTGAAATTTCTGCTTTCATATTTCACAGGTGTATTCGTTGAATCAAGTACTTTGTTTTGATAACTATATTTTTCTTGCCTTCATATTGGAGTTTGACTCGCATTCGAAAAAAAACTTCAACATTTGCTGATGTGTCACAGGCACATCCTTGTTTCATTCCTATATTCCATGCATTTGGGCAGACCATGCTTTTGAGAAATATAAATAACCTTTACCAAACCAAAATATCCTCCTTTTTAGAGAAATAAGCACATTGATAAACACCTATTAAATTACTCAATCTTTATTGCAAAAATATAGAAGTATTTTAAGTTGCAAATCATTTCATTTCAAAAGAAATGTACCTTTAAGTTATGTCATTTTCAGCAAACAGTTATAATGGTACAGGTGATGGATTTTGTATGGCATACCATTGTAGTCCTAGAGAATTCCGATCATTTGGGCACGATTGTAATGAGCGGTATGAAGGATATTGTGGTGAGTATACATGTATATACATGTAATATGTTTCTAGATGTATTAAGAAACTAATTATAAACATGTTTGGAATAAAAGTCAATTGGAAAAGAATACGTACCTAAATAAATTCAAATGAAGAAAAGAAATGAATATACTCGGTAAGAGTATATGTAAGACACTATGTGCTTTAGTTTTCTTTAAATTGATAATTGTTAATAATTACAGCAAAATATAATATCAGTAGTCTAAAGCAGTCTATTATACGTATTATATATGTTTTAATTGTGTCTCAAAATGTCGTTACAAAATGGTACGTTTAGAATAACTAATATTAATCATTTTGTGTGCAATTTGTTTTTCTTTATTTTTTTTTTTTTTTTTTTAATACATTTTTGTTATACATTTATTTCCAATAACATACAACAAATTTTGAGGCAAAACTTCCGCAGAAGCCCTTAATACCTCACCTGGGTTGCCAGGAGCTCCCTGGATCGGTATATTTTTCAATATTCAATTTACAAAAGTTTACAATAGAGAAAAACATGATTATTTATCATTACTAATATTTCATTTTCACAAAAAGACATAAATATTCCATCGAAAAAACATTTCATATTAAATAAATATATAGATAAAATATCATTTTAATTACAATTTATATAGAAAAATAAAGATTATAATTCGTCTGCTAACTTTTTTAAAAGATAGTAATTAGATTTAAAACATTTTGCACTCTTTACTATTACATAATACTGATACAAAGACGATTTCAAAAAAAATTAACATTACATTTGCATTTACTATATCATTTTGCATTCTACATTTCATTTTATATTATATATTTTATATCCCACAATTGATATGACATGATTAAAAATCATTGTTATGTTATTGAACTCATTATAAAATCCTACAACAATATTTTTCCAGGATAGATTTAAATTCAATACTTGAGATATTTTTCCCATACTCTTTTTGAGTCTGTACATTCAAAAATTAAGTTTTTAATATGTAGGAGTCCAAAGTGCGATGGGACTCCAAAGTCCGATGGTCACGCCAAAGTCCGATGGTCTGCGCTGAACCCCGATGGTCTGACACGCCAAAGTCCGATGGTGCGGAAAACAATTAACGTTTATGAGTCGTCATAGTAGCACTGCGCCCAAACCTCAATGCCGCGACATGCAAAGGTCTTTAGAATAAGCATAAATAAATGCGAAAACTAACCCTTAACTCTCAGGCAGGTGCGAGACTAACGCTCGAAAAATGTGTATTAACAATAACTTATTTATCTTGAGTTGGGGCAAGCTTAAGACTAACCCTAATCACTAGACTTGGGTGCGAGGACTACACTAATTCACTCGGGTTGTGCAATGCAAGGACTAACCCTAATCAACCGAGTGGTGTGCGAGGACTAACCCTAATATCTCTGGAAGGTGCAAGCAATAAGCAAAATCAATACTAAAAATTGTATTCAAGGACGAATTCAGAAATGATTGCTTTTGAATGCAGGACAACGGCGTCAAGGATTGACGTCGGATTATTGTGACGTCATAAACGTTGATTGTTCATCCGCACCATCGGATTTCGGCATGTCAGACCATCGCACTTTAGCGTCGTGCGTCTCATAGGAAACGAGCCATCGAACTTTCGCATGACCATCGGACTTTGGCGTCCGTAAAGACAGCGTGCCATCGGGGTTTGGCGCAGACCATCGGTGTTTGGCAAGACCATCGGACTTTGGCGTCACCATCGGACCTTGGAGTCTTACAAATATATTCTACTTCTCCGCAGGATGTTAACAATTTTTTGCCACCTCTTTATTCCATTTACTAATACTAACCTGATAATTACAATTCAGTTGGTTGTGTAAAAGTTTAAAATTGAATTCTGCAATCTGTTTATCAAAAATATTTAGTATTTTAGCTGTATAGATATTTTTCCATTGACCATTCATTATGTTGAATTCTTTTGACCATTTATTTTCCATTATTGGTTTTTGTTTCTTTTTAGAAAGTAAAATTTTATAATAAAATCCGATTTTTCAAATTCTGGGTTTTTACTTTTCCCTTGAAAATAAAAATACGGGTTTTGTATATTAGTGTTCTTTATATACAATAATCTATATTTAGTTTTTTTAATCGCTTTTTTCATAATAAGATATTCACACAAGTAATTATTCTTTGATTCAATGATCTCTTTTACTTTAGTAGCATTTTTCATACCTTCTGTTGTAAACAGGTCTTTTACATATAAAATACCACTTCTTACCCAATTTTTTAAAGTATAATGGTTTGTTATTTTGTGTAATGAAACTATTAAACCATAGGTTTTCTGTTATTTTATTTCGTGGTGATATTAACATTTTACACTCGTTAAAACTACAGAAAATTTCTTTATAAAAGTTTGAGAATTTATTTAAAATATTGAAATCAGTCGGATTTTTTATATTGCTGCGTAGCAGATATTTAAAGTTTATTCCATAAGATTTTAAAGCGTTATCTAGGAAAATTCTAAGTGGGGAATTTTTATTATATAGACTTTTGATCCATCCCGCTTTTATGCTTTTAAGTTTGCATTCTGTATCAAATAAACCAAGACCGCCTTCATTTACTGGTCTTATGTGTGAATTTTGCTTAAATTGCTCTCTCTCTCTCTCTTATTCCATAAAAAACTGTAAATATTTTAATTCAAATTTTTAATGTACTCAACATCTGGATTTTCAAGAACTGTGAATACATATACTAATTTAGATACTATTAGTGAATTGATAACGGTACATTTTTCGAAAAAAGTTAAACTTCTTGTTCTCCAATATTTTTTCAAATTCCTTAAGCTTGTTTAACCAATTTCTTTCATTATTAGATACTTTGTCGTGTCCTACGAAAATTTCCAACGATTTAATAGGTTTGATTGTCATTTTAATTCCTTCTACCTCTTCCCGTGTATTTTTAAGCGATTTGTTTGTTTTGTAGTCAGCCGTTCGAATTATTTACTTAAACAAGGAGCTACAACGTGGAATAATTACTCAGTGGTGTGCAAAAACCTAAACCATTTTCTAGCGGCCAGTATAACTAAAAATTCGGATTGTATAGGTTATGTTTGGATTGGAATAAGGAGATACCAGATACATCATAGCATTGAAGGAAAGTTTCGTTTCATTACAAAAACTATTAAATTTCTTTCTTTGAAGACTTTAAGAGCCATTCTCTGTAATGATTTGAAATTTTATATAGGAGCTGTGGCACGCATAGTCTCAGAATTTCTCCAAATTGTTTATGATAAAAGTCATTGATACCCTAAACTGAAATCAGGCAAAAATTGGTTGCTATGCTTTATAGTTACCATGGCAACATGTCTTAAAGTTCGAAAAATGGCATTTTTTAACATGTTTAGAGCCCCATAGTTTACATTTGCGGCAAAGCAAACAATTGGCAATGACTGTTTCCAAAAGTTGAAGGTCAGATGTCTCAAATGCATGATAAACATGTTTGGTAAATCAACTATTACATACGTTACTATGGTAACAAAGTATTCAAAAGTACAAAAAATATTCATTGAATTTTATAAAGTCATACACGTAAAAATAAAAAAGCAATTATAGGATGAAATGTGACCAAATAATAGAAAAAAAGAGCATTGAAACATATACCAAGAACAAAATATGATATTTCATTTTGGTTGGCAATGGTTGCCAAGGTTTCTATACCACAGAAAACCTTCAAAGTAATACTCTGTATTTTTAAATCTGATCCTATCTTTTAAAAAAGCATATTTCCTCATAACTAATGATTAATTTTTAAAGATGGTGGTGTGCTCCTGGTTTTCCCATTTGAAAAAAATTAGATTAGATTCTTTAAATAGAGCGTTGCTATGGAAATAAGCAGAAAATATATGCTTAAAAACCTGAAAAATATTTTCTTTCCTTGGATACGTACCCTTAAATGTAGATTCCCAAAACTTTTATGATTGATATTTATTAACAGCTAACCTGACTTTTAATTTTGACTATCATCCAATCTCTAAGTGGATGCAAGAAGTTGGCACACAGTGTTTAATATTGATATAAAATTCACAAAATTGAACATTTTCCCTTCTTGGTAACCATAGCAACAGTGTTGTTTTCTTCATCAAATTTCATCAATATATGATATTCAGCTTCAGTTCTAACAGATAAGTACTATTCAAGCTGAGTCCTTTAATTTGTTTCTTGATTAAATGGCAATTTAATTCTTAATGCAGCGAAAAATAATTCACTTTTAAGCACTGGTACTTTGTTTCCATGGTAACACTGCAAAGTAGGAATTACACCCAATTTTTCTTATGGTTTTGGTGATGCAAGGTCCTAAGGATGCATATTTGACAGTCTTGAATTTTCATGTTTTTCCTCAAGACAGTAGCATTAACCCAATCTTAGTTACTGGTTTTGCATGGTTACACTGTGTTACCATGGCAACCACAAAAGTTATTTATAGAATAATATTGCTTATACTTATATACTTAAGGTCAAACATTTTCATTGTTTTTCTTAAGTCGTTGATTGAGTTTGAGCATGTAACACCTACCAGTATTGAATACGGAGTGTTTTTCGGCATATTTCAGCATTTTAAATGTATTCCAAATGTACCCTTGGTTACCACTTACTTAGAGATATATTCTAAACAGTTTCTTTACAGTATAAGTGACATCAAGGTGTCATGTTTTTGTGAGAATGGTTTGTTTGCTTTTTCTAGTTTTTATTAAGTCACAGTCAAGATCTAAAGTTGCTGAAAATCTCAATTTTTCAAACTTTTCCGGCCGTTGCCATAGCAACCGAGACCCTTAGCAACGAAATTTTGTTTGATATTTGTTTCTGGTGTCAAGTACTAAGCATGGGTGAAGTTTCAAAATCGGTGACCATGCGTGGCAACGAAGTTCAAGTGGTTACAGAGAATGGCTATTAAAATGTGCATATATGTTTTGATTGTACAAATTACAAAAATGTGTATATACTGAACATTACTTTTAAAAGTGAAATTTTAATTGTAAAATTATAACTAGATTTGCAGATACATGTATTATAATAGCAATTTATTTCCATTAAACCCCTGGAAAAAGAATTGATTTTATTTAATTATCAAGTATGCTCTAAATTCGATTTAAAATTTTTTGCCATTTTTCCATATGGCCAAAAACTCTTAAACCTGTCAAACTAACATTAAATAGTGCTAGTTGCACTACTCTCTCATTGTTTTATCCAGTTTTATGTCTTAGGTTCTAAAGACAATGATTGTTATAAAATCAAAAGGGATTTTCGCACGTGGTTATATGAGAAAAGTGATTGCTCCGAAAAACTTTCTTTCATCTGTAAAGTTTCGGATCCAATTCATAGTAAGCTGACGGATTGAAAAGAGTCAAAATCAGTCGGGCATTTTGTATTCTCTGATAAAATTACTGAGAGCTCATTTAACCATAAATTTTCACTTAAGTTCTCTTTATATAAGTCTATAAATATCTATATATGACGAGGCGAATGTTTTATTCTCATATGAAAATAAGACAACTGTTTAAAAGAAGAATTTAAAAGACCAAATAAGCAATATCGTGTTTGTCAATTAATATTGATTTAAACACAAAAAGATAGATAAGGAAAGTTTAACTTAGAATAAGTTTTTTTTTCAAATCTATAGACTTTTTGCTATTTTCAGATTCTAGCATTTCTTCAACTGGTCCTCGTACCACGGAGACAGTCACAACAAACGGCTCCGTAAACATTAACGAATCAAATAGTAAGTCATTTATCTTTACATAAAAATTCCAAATTTTAACAGTGAAAAAATACATCTGTTTACCGGTAACTCTTGGGAGGATCAAAACACAAATAGCAGTTTACTTACATTGTTCTGCACCTACCCGGATTTTGAATTATGTTAATCTTATCCCCAAATTCTGTTATCAAAATATTTTTAGTGGTTTCATCGTATTCTCTAGTAAAATTACTGAAAGCAAATTAAAATACGAATTTTCATTTAAGTTCTCTCTAATGAACAAAATTTTATGATACGGCGAATGGTTCATTCTCATATTTAAAAAAAGACAACTGTTTAAAAGAACAAATGAGGAAACAAGATAAACAGTATTATATATATCATTTAATTTGAACACAAAAAGATTGCTAAGGAAAGGTTTACCTGAAATAGTTTTTATTTTCAATTTATGATTTTTTTTCTATTCCCAGATTCTAGTATTTCTTCAACTCGTCCTCGTACCACGGAGACAGTCACAACAAACGCCTCTGTAAACATTAACGACTTAAATAGTATGTCATTTATCTTCACATAACAATTCCAAATTTTAACAATGAGAAATACATATTTGTACCGCTAATTCCTGGGCGGATCAAAATACAAAATAGCAATTTACTTACATTGTTCTGCAGCTAACCAATTTTTGAATTACGTTAATCTTATTCCCAAATCCTGTTATCAAACTATTTATATTTTTTTCATCGTATTCTCATATAAAATTACTGAAAGCAAATTAAAATACGAATTTTATTTAAGTTCTCTCTAATGAACAAATTTATATGATAAGGCGTATGGTTCTTTCTCATATTAAAAAATGACAACTGTTAAAAAGAACAAATGAGGAAACAAGATAGGCAATATCGCATACGTCATTTAATTTGACATAAAAAGATCGGTAAGGAAAGATTAACCTGAAATAGTTTTTGTTCCAATTCATAAAATTTTTGCTATTTCCAGATTCTAGTATTTCTTCAACTCGTCTTCATACCACGGAAACAGTCACAACAAACGCCTCCGTAAACATTACCGACTCAAATAGTAAGTCATTAATCTCCTCATAAAACAAATTCTAACGGTGAAAATACATATTTGTACCGGTAATTCCTGGGATGATCTCTGCTTACATTTATCTGCAGCTTACAAGAATTTGAAATACATAAATGATAAAAGGATATGTAAAAAAAAATATTTTAAAAATATTTGGATCGGATAGTATGTTAATCTTATCCCCAAATCCTTCTATCAAACTATTAATATTTGTTTTTGTTTCATCGTATTCTCATGTAAAATTACTGAAGATGCATTAAACCATGAATATTCGTTTAAGTTATCTCTAATGAACAAAATTATATGATAAGGCAAATGGTTCACTTTCAAGTAAAAAATAAGACAACTGTTTAAGAGAACAAATTAAGTAACCAAATAAATAATATCGAGTATGTCACTAAATTTAAACATTAAAAGATTGGTAAGGGAATGTTAAAATGAAACAATTTTTTTTCAAATATATAGACTTTTTGCTATTTCCAGATTCTAGCATTTCTTCAACTCGTCCTCGTACAACGGAGACAGTCACAACAAACGTCTTCGTAAACATTAACGACTCAAATAGTAAGTCATTTATCTTCAAATAAAAACTCCAAATTTTAACAGTGAAAATACATATTTGTACATGTTATTTCAGAGAAGAATAAAATACTGTAATATTTTGCTTACATTTTTCTGAAGTTGACAGAATTGTAAAATACTGGTTTATATCTTAAAGAATTATTTTGGATAGTATATTTTGTAAATCTTACACTGTGTTTTCTATGCCCACATCCTTCAATCAAACAATTTATATCGGTTTTATTCCTGAGCCGAAGGGATACAAAAATATATATTACTTTGGATATGAAAATTATATCTAATCGGAGACTTGAAGCTTTATATTACAAATTGTATCTCTTATTAATATGTATTAACTGGTTGTTTTGTGTGTATTTTACAGCTATAAGTTTAGTTACTGGGACCGTCTCTGGAATTATCGTCCTACTTATAGTTATCGTAGTCAGCATCGTTTTTGTTCGAAGAAAGCAGTAAGTTTGCACATTCTAGTTAAGTTGATGCTTTATCTTCTGGTTTCCTCATTCATTATATATATGTTATTTAATAAAATGAAATCCTATTCTTTTTTACTTTTAAGTTTTATTACTTGCTGTTTCATCATTTGTTATCTAAATACAGTAAAACACACTAAAAGTGAACATGCCTAATATAACAAATTTACACAGCGAAGTAACTTTCTTTTCCCATGAGTCTTAAGTAAACACATTGTGAAGCTATCGAATATAACGAATAAAATTTATGTATTCTTATGCTTATATGCAAGCTCACCGCAGCTTGTTTTTGCTAATTTTGTACAAGTCAAATAAAACACTTTCATAGAGATGAATAATGTCATTTATTAAAATGACGGTATAAATGTGAACAATTTAACAAACAAGAAGGGGATCAGATTCACAAGCTTTGATTAGCAGTTACGTAAAATATGATAATGTCTGATCCCCCAAATTTATAACGGAGCAAAATTGCCTTTCCCTGGCACTTTGTTATCAGCGTAATCCTTTATTAAATATCTTATTAAATTCATAATGTACGGTAACATTTTTTGTAAAACATTAGAAAAGATAAATTTATTAAGTTGGTGGTATTTTTGTGTTTTTAGAGGGACCCTGAGCAAAGGAACCAAACATGCGCAAAATGCAATTTACGAATTACAAAATTCAAATGAGTTATTTGACAGAGACGATGACATTATCTATATAAATACCATTAATGAAAGAAGTAATAACCACCAAAAGCAATCTCCGACAAACACAAATGAAATATATGTGGAAAAGGAAGAAGGAGAGTACGACCATTTGCGTACTTCACGTACTAAACAGGATATAACAAATGAGGAACCCTTCGACAAATCAGAAAACACCTACTCCACAACTACAAGAGAAGATATCACATATGGAGCACAATATGATAGCATGAACTCTTCAGGAGAAAGTAATTATAATTACTCAAAAGACATTAAACAAGCCAATGTCTATGGATCGCACTATGATTATTTGAACTCCTCAGAGGAAAATCAGTATGACTTGAGTTATATAAATCACAAGAAAGGTTTTGTTTCAGATTATTCGTCTTTAGAGGAGAATACCTATGGTAGAAGTAATAGTGCATGTTAAAATACTACTTACAAATATCCCCCTATGACACAACATTTCTCGTATAAGAGAACTACAATAGACTTTTTTTTCAAATTGTGCATCGCTTTCTTACCACCTCTTATAATGCAAAAGGTTTTTTTTATAAATTTTTTCTAGTTTCTTCTGACCTATACTAATGATGAATTGTAATTTTTGCCTCATGCCATTTACTTAAATATACGGCATTTCTTACTTTCAATGATGTTATTTTATTCCATGTTCCACGGATAAACAATTTCTAATACGATGTAAGTTATTGACAGACAAGTTGACTAAACAAGAATATCAGCAGTCCCGTTTAAAGTCATCAGTTTGTAAGTTCTTTGGTCGATACAATAACCCGTCAGCAAATAAAATTTATCATTGAGTCAAATGCTGAGTGACGTTTTTCATACTAATTGTTACATGTAGTCCATTATTTATACACTGGTTTGACGACAGATTTTCCCGTTATTTCACGATCATGACAAGGAGCAAACAGCGGGTGTGACCGGTCGACAGGGGATGCCCACTCCTCCATGTCACCTGATCCCACCTTTGATGTTTTAGAGGTCCGTGTTTGCCATGTTCCTGTTTTGTTTTATGGACTTTGATATTGAATACTGTTCATTATTTCCATATCCTTCATTACATAAAAAAACCTAGTCCAGTCGGCTTGGTTTTGGGTTACAAAGGACACATAAAGGAACATAAACTGCATTAGTTTTAATTTATAATTTCTAAGGTTGATCTACCACGGAGATTAGTACAAAAATTATGATTACCTCTCTCCTATATGATTTCTTTGTAATTCAGCTGAAGACACCTATACCCTAAGTCATGATCAGTGGTAATCAGTCAACACATACAAGACCAGCAAATATAGGCAAAAATAACATGCTACCCAAAAGGAGTAGAAACTTTATTAGGTATATGTATTCTGATTTCTGTGATAGTGGCAAACTTCATTCAGTAGGCCGTAGCGTAGTTTACTTAATTATGTTCCGTAAAGTTACGCCAATAGATGCAAAAATGTATTTTTACTTTTTCATCTTTTATTGATTTATCAAAATTTCTAAATTACACATTGACATTTGTTAAAATTGTTTTGATGTGAACTTCACGATCATGATATATTTCTTAAATCAATAAAAATTTGCTGATAAAGTTCACTGGTCTCCGGTCACAAGTCTTCAATAAACAAGGAAGTAATGAACCTGAGTGATCAAACCTTTAAAAACGGAAAGAATATATAAGCAAAATAGGGAGCGATGATCAGAAAAATTACCCTGAGTGTATATATTTATCTAAATCTATGTATCCATGAAGGTAAGAGTAATCAGATGTATCAAATGATTTGTAAATAATTGTAAGTATCTTGTATTTGAAAATTCAAACATGTACGCTGCAATTTGTTGTTAGTTTTAATCAATAATAAACTCTTATTTTTAGGATCAACCATTGTTTACGACGTTTTGGGGTCAAGTGAAGAATATTTTATTATCAATTCATCAGTCGTAGAATGGGAAAAAGCGCATACAGTCTGTAGTTCAAAAAATGGATCTTTGGTTGAGGTGACGGATCTACAGAAACACATTACAAACAATACAAAACTGCTAAAGATGTATAATTCATCATATTGGTCTTCTGTTTCATTTACTCCTTGGATAGTATACAGAGGTAATTGTCAATGTGAAATGATTTTTTTTTTTCAGAAATCATCAACGTAAAATAATAAAAGCAACAATGTTTAAAAATAAAAATGCATAAGGAATTAGAGGAAACTTTAAACATTATTTACCTGTTAAAAAAGAGGATCCAATGGATTGATATTTGAGAATCCTTTGATAAAATTAAATTTATCGACTTAAATTTAACCACTGTGTATTACATCTATAGAGTAAAGGTTCCCTTTACTTTGTAGGTTGTTTTTCAAGTAAGTTTGGAGGAAAGTACTTTGTTCAAAACCAGAATACCGTTGGGAATTGCTTTAGTAGCTGTGATTGGTATTGTAACTTGTACAACATTGCCTTATCCAATTTTGCTCTAGAGGTAAGTTTCCTTTCCTAAATTACCGTCACGGTAGACCAATCAGTATAGGGCTCGCTTCGGAAGATCTTGAGTTCAAATCTTGACCTCGACTGACTTTAGTTAGGTTAGATCTAGACCCCGTGTCGCAGTAATAGCTGACATGATAAAGATCCCTCACTACTTAACGGCTCTGGATGCCGAGTAAAGATGAACATCTCCATATGAGTAAAAAAAATTCTCCAGTGGGACGTACATGTAAAGCAACACACAATCAATCAATTCATTCCAAACTGTACATAAAAAGGGTGAAAATAACACTAATTTTACGTAGGCAACTACTGCAATATACATGTATAATAGTATTGTATTGTAAAATTGTAATTTTTTTAAATTATATTTCTTTTTTTCAAGCACAGGAGAGAGAGAGAGAGAGAGAGAGAGAGAGAGAGAGAGAGAGAGAGAGAGAGAGAATGTGGATCTTTGCATAAAGATAAAACTTTACTTCAGGAAAATTAAGCTTGTTATTCTTAAAAAACCTAGACAAATAAAAAAAGTAAGGTCTTATTACTGTGATACCTACATGTAGGCATAGAATTACGAGATACAATTACTTTAATAAACTTTATATGCATTTATGTAGCTAAGATTGAGATCCGTCAAGTTGATGCCGTATATCTTTATAGTATTTTGTAGATATTACGATTTTTTGTGCAAAAGATATTTTGGGTGTTTTTTTTTTTTTTACAAAACTCTTGTTGCCAGGTTAAATATGATTACTGTTATTATAGCTTTGCTCTTTAAAAATATTTGGATTTTTCGCGGTCACGGTGGATATGTTATTCCAAGATTGTATATTTGGTAACTTCCCCTTCTCTCTCTCTCTCTCTCTCTCTCTCTCTCTCTCTCTCTCTCTAGTTGTTAAAACTTTAAATTCAAAAGTGAAAAACTTTGGTGAAATCTATATATTGTTATTTTCAAAGGGCAAAGTGTGTTACTGTTATTGTAATAAGACCGACATCTCACACTGGAAGCTAGCAGGAAGCAATAAATGTAACATTACCTGTCAAAACTCTACAGAGGATGGTTTCTGTGGTGGAAATGGTCACATGTCATTCTATAAAGGTAATTTCATAAATACAATACAATTCATAATATAATTTTAAGATAAAAAGTTAAAAGCTGACATATGTGTAAACTATAAAAATGTTGGGATAGATTTATCTATGTGAACATCGTTCGATAATGTTTTATAACTACTCCGATAATCAGTTGATAGTTTAGATATTGTAGTGGATAGTTTCGATTTACATTCATTTGAAATAATATTCATTAATATCATATATTCTTTGTTCAGCAATGGCGCATAAATTTGGTCACAATCCCTAAATTTTTGTACATATTCCTTATCAATTAATTGTTTAAACTCTTTTTTTAATTTTAACTTCAAAACATATTGTTTCAACATTTAAATTATATAGTAGAAAGGGGAAATTATTATAAGAATTTTTAAAAGGTCTTTAACATTAAAACATTCAAATAATGCTTACAATTCACAAATGTTTAATATTGTTTATCATTATTTACATCTTTTACAGTTGATAAAGACAATAGGGCAGGAGGTGAATTTTGTTTGGCGTATAACTGTCATCTCAATAAAATCTACGGACATAATTGTACACAGGAGTATGAAGGTTACTGCGGTGAGTAATAGACAGCAAACATGAACTCCGAAACGGTGGTATATTTGTAAAATAAAATATACATAATACACAATATACTAGAAATTGTTTCTCTTGTCCATAAAATTTTGAAACGATGAGAGTGTGGAACAGGTATATTTGTTTTTAAAAAAATATATATACATATACAATATACAGGCATTGTTAAGGATTGTTTATATTTACTTCATCCTGTCCATAAAAGCTGTTGAAATGGTTAGATATATTTTTGCCTGGGTCTCTCTCTCTCTGTGTTTGTCGAAAAACTTTAGGTTGTAGTTGTACTTAAATTGGCTAACTATTACACAAAAATATTAAACGTTTTCTAACCACACTTCACATATATATTATTCGTGAAGAATGGGATCAACAACCTTGAGAGAATATTGAATAAAATATGCATTGTTAAGGTAGATGTGATATTATATTTACTTCATTAAGCTACTTTTTAAAAAAAATATGAACTTGGTCATAACTTTTAAACAGTTAGTGCTAGTGCTATCATACTTCACATATGTATTGTATGTGATAAGACATTCCACTGGATACCAGCAATTTTGATCTTGGAGATTGGCTGACTTTTAAAAAGATTTTACCCTTTGCCATAACTTTTAATATACAATGAGGAAAATGCTTTTTAATTTGGTAAATTTTTGAGATTTGAAATATTTCATATTATTGCCATTAAATTTTACTTTGTGGGAATACTTGATTCTATGTTTCTGAAAATGAATATTATTTTCTATATAATGGTATCTTCATAATATTCATAATGGTATGTTCATTATATTCAACATTCTGGTAGATTTCATTGATTTTTCTTGTATACTTCTATTGCATATAAGCAATATTGAAGCTAGCTGTAAAAATTTTTATATTGTGTGTTTATTTAATTTATTCTATTCAGACTGGAATATGATTAATTTAAATTTTGTTGAAATCTTATTTTAGGCCAAACCGCATTAATAACGTTTTCAATAACTTTTGCCGATTCCCTTAGTTTTGTATGTATTTATTCCAATAAAATGTTTTTTGCATCATGCACTAAACCTAGGACTTTGATTAATTTCAGTCTAATTACCAGAATACTTGATTTACAATTATTTCAAAACGATGTTTTGCCTTTTAGTTACTAAAAACCGGGACGAAACCTTCACTTTTACAAAGCAACTTCCTATGACTTGGAGTAATTATTCAAGAGCTTGTAAAAGTCAGAACAAGTTCATGACCGCTTATCAACAAGAATGGCCTCGACATCCATCTTGTAATGGTCATGCCTGGACTGGAATTAGGACGTACTTAATAACGAATTATCCAGGTACGCATGACAGAAAACACGACGTTGTAATAGTTTTGTATATGTTAAAATCTCACTGGAAGTCCAGGGTAACATAGCAGCTCTGCTTGTAACAAAAACATGTTTAGTGTATCGTATAAAAACATACTTGTCATTTTTATACCTTATTGCAATGAGCACAGCCTGGAAAAGTTTAGATTTAATTAACCTGCAACAGCAATTCATCTCATGAAATTATAATGACATGATTACTTCATGTATGTTAATTTTCAACCTTATATAGGGTCATACTTCACAAGCTTCAGATCTTGCTATACAGTTCAATGGAATTTTAAGTGGGAGTATGTGAGGAGCAATTGTTATGAAAAACATCATTTTATCTGCAAGTTTCAAGGTAAAGGCTAACGTTAAGAATCATATATTTTATTTTTTAAAATATATTTTATATCTGTCTTATACATGTTAAAGCAGAATCAAAATTGTATATTATATTTCTATGACTATTCATTGGAACAGGCTAAGATAAAGTAAGGATATATAAGATTTGTGTAAATAATATGATTGAATAATGTTTGAAAATCAGAAAACATATTATATAATTTAAACATGTATTATAATGATCCAATTTTGTTGAAGCCATTCTAATATACTTACAGGGACTTTTTCATCTACAGTGAAAACAACAACAGGAATCACAAACTTTATTGCAACTAATACCAAAGGTACCAAAGTTCACATCTATTTCCTGAATAAATAGAGGATATTTAACGTTTTGTTGATGGATATGGAATTATTTCACGAACTGAATCGGGATTTCTGGATTTTTCTGTTTAAACCCAATGCAAGAACAAGAAAGAGCACACGGCCGGTATGACCGGTCAACGTGATGCTCACTCCTCCATAACACCTAATACCACCTCTGATGTTGTGGAGGTCTAAGTGTGCTCCGCTCTTATTTTGTAATGTTTAATGGACTTTTGGGCTCGAATACTGTTCGTTGTCTCAACATATTTATTTCATTTTCTCGAGTGAAACGTCATAGTTGAGCGGTCGAGAAGTCATAGCTGTGTAAGCTTGAAAAAATTCATTATCCAACTTCACACATTAATTTTTCTGTTTATTACATTGTCTTTGATTTTCCCTTTGCTTCTGTCTTAACGTCCTTCTGTATGAATAGTGTCAGCTGTAAGGTTACATAGTGTCATATACTAGAGCGGTCGAGAAGACATAGCTGTATAAGATTGAAAATATTGTAAACATCCATGAATAAACAACATTTTTTGAGAAAAATGTAAATAATAGTATTTCAAGGTTGAAAATGTAATAAATATGCAAATCTAATGTAAATTTAATTTACAATATTAAGATTCAAAACAGCATGATACTTTTGGTTGTTTCTACCTTTCAAGTTGACCATAAACAATAAGTTGCCTTCTTCGTTGATAGTATATACCGTATATTCTTTTTTATATCTATAAAATTTTTTTGCGACCATTTTGAATTCGCAAAATATAAAACACGCAGAAATTATGTCAGCTATAATGTGACATAAAACATTACCATTTGAAACAAAAAAATTATTAATCGTAAAAAATAACACGCAGAATAAAAACTGTAGTAATCTTCCCCTTTTTCGCAAAATTTCCAACAAGCGAAAAAAACCGGATATACGGTATGTCCTAATCCTTTAATTTAACTGAAAATAAAAAAAATAATGAGGTTTAAGATATCTTAAGTCAAAGGATTTTTATTCTATCATTCTTCATTATGTCTGAGTAAAGCATCATAATAATTTTGAATGGTTTCATATATATACAATAAAACTCGTTTAGTACGAACACGGATATTGCGAATTCACGGATATAACGAAGTCATCTTGGAACCACAGCTATTCAAATTTACTGAATTTCTTGTACGGTTATAACTAATTACTGATATAGCGAAGTAATTTCAGAGGTCCCAGTGACTTCGTTATAACCGAGCTTTGCTGTATATTTCATCAAAGATATAAAAAGTTGTATTATTTCTGATATCATCAATCTAATCATTTAGGTACTACTCAGTCTCTTAGAAGGATATCGACAGAAATATTAACAATGACAGGTCAAGCTAAACATACCCGTATCGCTCCTAATTACGGAACAAGTCCAGAATTTACAGTTTCTCCGACCACAGATCTGTTTTTTACCGAAGATCCCACTTCAATCGCAAAGAATTTTGGGAGAGATTTTCAGAAAAGGACTACTATTGTTAACATCGCTTCAAAAGGTTGGACATCATATCTAAGCAAAGACAACGATGAATCCAAGTCAAGTAGGCATTTAAATTCATTAACATTTATCACTCAGAAACTTGCCCTGAAGGGTTTTAGTTTCTTGTTTAATTTCTGTTTCAAAAGGTACCATTGGGATAATTGTTGGTTCTACCCTTGCTGTCTTTTTATGTGCTTCCATTTGTCTGCTTCTGTTGTATCTGAAAAGAAAACGGTAAGTTTAGATAACGAATCATCTGTTCTGAGTTATTCAATCCTCTCATATTCACTTTCCTTTTCGTCTCCCAGAGCAAAACATGGACTTTGCCATTATAACCATATGGGAGGCGAGGATATCATGTATTGTGAGTTCTTTCCCCACTGTACCTCTACTTAAGTTATTGTGTTTTACGTTTTTCAGCAAATTGCGGACACCTTCTGTAAAGTTTACAAATAACGCATATGAGGAAAAAAGCGTTGAAACAAACAATCTTAGGGAAAACGCTATTTACATCAACGAGACTTCAAAAAATTGTTCTCAGACAACAGCAAAGTCTGACCATGACGATGTTTATGTTGAAAATGCTGAAGGCGTGTACGACAGCTTACACAGTTCTCGTCAGAAAAAGTCCTCTTATGACAACCCACAGTATGACAGCACGATAGGATGGGATAACGTCTACTCTTCTACAACACATCAGGATAATACAAACCATGGGAATAGTGATGAAAGTGATTACAACACTTTGGATGGCACTCGGGATGGAAATTCCTCAATGGAAAACTCTGATTATGACACTTGTAATCGCTATGTGACTTCTGATGGGAATCTGTATCAAAAAGTATGAGTGATTAAGATATGCTTTCACATTCTTTTATGAAGAAAGAAATGATCTATCATCAACTTTCAAATGTAAATCATTTTGAGAGAGATTTTAGGCATACCTTCCCAAAGTTCGCTTAATACATGTAGTAATGAAATTGTAGTAAAATAAACGTTTTACATATGTGCATGTATGTGGTTGCAGAAATGGGATATTATGAGTATAAAACGATTGTGGGTGTACGCATTGTGGAATGTACCAGAGAGCATGGAGGTCCTAGTTATTATGCAAGATTGATACATAAACTTAATGTTTATGCCATTTCAATAATAACGTCTGATTATCCTTTTTAAACTTTGTTAAGAATTTTGTTTGGTAGTGCCCCTCACAAACTGAAAATGTTTGGTTGTGTCCTCCCCCAAATAAAATTGTATTCCACTGCTATCATTTCACTATGAATAATACATGTAATTTATCTTCTAGCAACCATTTTATTGCTACCCTATATACATATATAATACAATAAGGTTCATTCTGAACATCTGTTTAATTAATATTGCCTTTTTACATATAACAGATGTTAGGTATTTCAAATTAGGTTTGGGAACTTTTGCAATACAGACTACAAGTAATTGATTTTTCGTTCCGTTGATTTATAATTTCTTGATTTGCTATTATTAAGATAAGAAATCATATACAACCAATATATCTTTTACATTAATTACTTTCATCTCTGATTTGTATTATGAATTCTCTTTCAAATAATTTTCAGCTGCTTTTTCCCCATTTTTTCAATTAAGGTTTAACTTCTACGGTGTTAAAATGTGTAAGATATTAAATCTGTATATAAATGTCAAACTAAAATGTAAACACTTCTTAAACAGAATCTTTTTTAATGATGAAGATATATGAAGTCGAATAAAGTCTCACAAAGGTTTTTTTTGTTTTGTTTCATGGTACATGTACGTACAGACAACCCTACGTATGATAGTGCAGTTGCTTCTTTTAAAAAAAAAAACAAGGTTTCATGATTATATCCATGATCTTCCAGTGAAAAAATAACATAAACAATTTAATTCATTAAGATTTTCCTTGGCAATTTATTGATAATAATCCCAGTGGAATGCAACAACTATACGAGCAGAAATACATGTACATATATTAGATTAAAATTAATACTGGCTATTTCTTCATAGCACACGAAGGAAGCATTTGAAGTGAAACTCGTGCTGACAACAGAAGTATGTTTTCCGGCAATAATATATCACAGTATATAATTAATAGATTCTTTTATGATTATTTACCGCCAATAAGCATATAATCATTCATGATATTAATTTATCAAGTAAACAAAAAGAGGAAGTAGATAATTTAATTGAAATCAAAATATAGGGAAATTATATAGTACGTACACCTAAGATAAATCAGTCACAAGGTGTCTCTTTCCCACCGTGTTCTAGCTCTAGTTCAACTGTGTAATATTCCTTTAATATTACAAAGCAATGTCTGTAAAATATTTTGAAGAAACATTGGATACTAACCAAGACCTTGTACATGTAACTACTTTGACATAAGTGGGGTCAAAAGAATGATATAAGCATAAATGATTAAACAAACTTTTATCAATGAAACATATGGAGATAACGAGCAGTATTCAAGATCAAAATTTAAAAAAAGCAAAATAGGAGCAGAGCAAATACAACCTCCAAAACATCAGAGGTGGGATCAGGTGCCATGAAGGAGTGAGCATCTCCTGCCGACCGGTCACGCCCGCCTTGTGCTCCATGTCATAACAGGAAAATCTTGAAAATAGCAACTTCAACAGTTCAGCCAATTTTACCCCGATATCTATTAGATGCTGATTGAGAGATAACCTTTGATGTGCCAGAAGATCAGTGTAAGAATTATGCTTTTATTACCTCTCTCTCTCTCTCTCTCTTTCTTTTATGTATTTCAGCGGATGATACATGTACCTTTTTGTCTTTGAGTTATGATCAATGGTAATTTCTCCAAGTACAGGATCAGCAATTAAAGTGTAAAATAATGATAACTTTCAGTCTCAAGAGTCTCATAAATTACATGCTAGTCATGCAAGTATTTCAGTACATACTGACTTATGTGCATAGTGCCAAACTTAGGTAGTGTATTTTACCTAAATAATTATGTTACTTAATTTAAAAAAAATCCATGAAATTTATATCTTTTATCATCTTTTATAGATTCATCAAAATTAAAAGAAAACTTACTTAATGTTTAGAAGTTTAAATTCGAATAAGACATTTACACTTGTGAAAATTGTTTTGATGTGAACTTTACGATCACGATTATTTTCTTCAATCAATAAATACTTGCTGATAATTAGGGTCACAAGACTAAATAAAATAAGGAAGTATTTAACATGAGTGACCTATACTTTTACAAACAGAATGGATCAGAGAGTGATGTCTAGGAAAATTCTCTTTATTATTTACATGTATAAATATATTTACATAAATCTCTGTATCCAAAAAGGTAAGCAAAGATAAGACAAATTGATCTCACAATTATATTAATAATAGAGTATTCTATATTTGTAAATTTTTAAGCTACAAATATTTCAAGTAATTATTCAGTGTCAATATTAAACCTTTGTATAGGGCCAGTCGTTGGTTATCTAATACTAGGGTCCAGTGAAGAACACTACATTACTAATTCATCACTTGAGAATTGGAATAAGGCGAATGAAGTATGCAGTTCAGCAAATGGATCTTTGGTTGAAGTGAAGGATCTGCGACAACAGAATAAAAACATTACAGAACTTTTAAGAAATAATTCATCATATTGGTCGTCTGTAGTTGGTTTATTTACTCCTTGGATAGTATACAAAGGTAATGGTATAATATGTAAAAAGATTTGTCTATAATTCATCAATAGAGAATATTAATAATAAAAATAATTTGAAAGTAAGAAAATGCTCAAAAATGTTATCAAAGGATAATGATTCGAAACTTACATGTAAGCAGTAAATGGTTTACAGGCTAACTTGAAATTGACAATTCTTCATATCTATGAAAACACTTTCCTTCAAACACGATAAAGAAATACATGAGTTGACGAGCGGAGCTGAATATCGATATTTGGTTCCCTTTCAGAACTCCCAAGACATAAAAAAAAACTAACGTTTTAATTAAATTGTTTACACTCCTGTTTAACATAGAGTAAAAGTTTCTTTTTACTTTGTAGGTTGTTTTGCAAGTACGCTCGGACAAAATTATACTGAATTCATTTTCCAGCAAGAAAATACTGTTGGGAATTGCTTCTATAGATGTAACTTGAATTGTAGTAGAAGATCTAAATTGACTTATTTTGCTCTAAAAGTAGAAAAAGGTCTATTGGCATTTAGTTAAACTTGTTTTGTACTTATTTTGAAATTAATTCTCAACTAAAAACATTGAATTTTCCATTTTCAAAAGGTCATTCATAGGCATTTAGTTAAATTTTAACAATATATTTTGAAAGAAAAATATTTTTTTCTATACAATATTTTTTTTACAACATTCTTTGTTATTGGAAGGAAAGTCGAGAGTTTTACCACACTTCGGATATTTGTCACACCGTGACAGGATATCATTTTGATATCCTTTCACACTGTGACAGGATATCACTTTTATTCAATGGATAAATTACAGTATTTCACTGGTAAAAATGTAATAAACAATTTTATTCATTTCAAATTAAACATGTTCATCTTATTTATATAATTATAGTTTCAGCTTTGTTCTTGTTGTGTGCTGACATGAACTCCAAATAGTTTGAAGGATTTGAATGCTGCTCTTGTCTTGGATAGTCTATATTTGGTGTCGATTTCTGCTCCGTCATCTGCCATTACTTCTTAAAATTTTGTATGTAAAGGTTTTTGTGATTTTCCACTTTGACCGCTTGTGAGTTGTTTACAGTTGGGGTCATGACGTCTGTTTTTTGTGTTGCTCTTCAGTCCAATGCTTATTACATATGTGTGGAGCCTGTTAGTTTTGTCTTGAATGTGCTGGTTGGAGTGATAGAATAAGGTTTCCTCTCATCAGCAAGTCCACTGGCCCTTTTCACAAAAAATGTTACGACTAAAATTCCTTCCTCATTCTACAACAAATATTTAAGCTGCAAAAATCTTTTTTCGCTATAACATTATATTAATTATTTATGATTACATTGTAAATAATTATTTTGAAAAAATATCTTTGTTGAAAAAATTACAGAGTATTGAAATTTTAGTCTTAATCGTACCATTTTTTGTGAAAAGTGCCACAGATTTTCTAGAGTTGTTAATGTATCTCTTCTTATGCCTCTGGGAATATCAGATGTAATTTTCATGATCCTTTCATGATATGATTGCTCTTATTTGTGGCCATGTTTAACAATTTTTTTTGGATATTTAGGACTTTAAATGTGGTGTTGTATCTCCCTTTCTTTCAATTAACTTAACTTTTAAAATTGATAAATCCATTTTTTTTTTTGTAATTTTCAAAGGGTGAAAATTGTTATTGTTTTTGT